TATATATATATGAATGAGAAGGGATTCGTTCATTAATCTAGTAATAAATCGACCTAAACTTACTTTGTTCAATAACTTGTATTTTTTTTTATCAAATTTCAATGATCTAACTGTTGAATTTAGAATTCATAATGTATAGATCAAGTTTATAAATTTTTAAAAAATTTAAAAGTTATTTAATACTTTGTTTTATTAATTTAAATTAACAGATAATCATAAAATCATTTTAGATATTGATTTGAATTAATGAAATAAAACATCAAAAAATAATTTTTAATTTTTTTAAAAATTTGCAGACTTGATATATGCATTAAAAACTTTAGATTAATGTCAAATATGTGTTATTGAACAAAATAAGTTTAAATAAACTTGTTTCTAGAATAAATGGATCTCTCCTCTATTTATCTATCTATCTATCTATCTCTCTCTCTCTCTCTCTCTCTCTCTCTCTAATCCCATTGATGTGTTATTTCTTCACTCTTTTTTTTCCAGGTTATGCACAAGAAGATATAGGTGCTCAATTTGAGTACGATTATAGAAGAGTTAGGGTTTTTGGTGGACGAGCACTTGGAGATAACAGATCAATCCGCTTCAACATTCTGTATGCTGTTCCTTCGAATTGTGATGTGAATAAGCTTAAGGGTACGTTCCAAGGAGAAATTTATAGTGTCATAATGCCAAAAGTAACTACATCAAAAGAAATCCATGATCAAAATTCACCCAAATCTTCACCACAAGCACCTCAAAAGAGTCAAATGGAAATATGTGAGGAACCAAAATCAACAATTGAGAGTGAAAAAGAAGCTAATGAGACTTCAACCGCACCAAAAGCCACAAATGATATCGTGCCTCAAAAGGGTGAAGGAGTTTCACAAGATGCCAAGAATCAAGCAAAAGAAAAGTGTGCATCAGGAAAACCACCCCCGAAAGGTAACAAGGAACATGTCATGGATGAGACAAGTTTCATCACAAAGTGTGAAGAGAATGGTAAGGATAAGGGCAAAGAAAAAGTGGAAATGAATATTGGATCATCAAAAAGGAAAGGAATAAAAGAGGTGGCTGCTTCTACTTCTCATGTTGTTGCAAAATTGGTAAAGGGATTCAATGAAGAAGATATGATAGTGTTGTACACAAGTGCAACGGTTCTAGTGTTGGCTCTAGGTGTTTATGCTTCTTACAAGTTTCGTTCCTTTAGCTAGACTATAAATAATATAATGCATCTCTCTTTCCTATCATATGATTTTGGCATATGATTGTTTTCAACATTTGTAAAACAAGCTGGCAAATTTTATATCATAATCATGTGTTAAGCCGATTGGTTGAATTCTTTAAATATGATGCATTCTTCTTTTCGGATACATTATCAATTCGTTAGATTAATTGTGTGTGATGAAAAATTTCTGAACCAATAAATATTATACTCTAAAAATAAAAAATGGTAGAGCAAAATTTAAGTAAAAAGATATTAGAATTTGGAAACAAAAAAAATATTCCTTCTCTTTCTAGTGTTTTGTAGAGATATCTCAGGAAAAATAAATGTTAACCTATTGCTAAATAAAAAAGTAAATAATTCATTTTATAGAAGACAACCATTGTAAGCAATAGAATATCTTAAAATAATAGAAAAAATAGAATGACCAAATACTAGTTTGGTTTTCCTAAAAATTTTAAATAAATTTTTAATTATATATCAAATGCGAGCAACTATCTTATTGTAGGAACGTTTTTTAGGGATTATTTTTCAATGAGAGTGTTTGTAGAGATTCTTAATTTCTTATAACTTCTTAACTAATTCAATTTTTTATAATATTTATTTATAAATTAAATTTTAATAATTTAAAATAAATTATCAGTAATTAAATACGATCTTATGCCACAAATAAAAAATATTTATCATAAATATAAAATACAATTTATAAATTTAAAGTATTTATTTATACAAATTTTAAATATAATTTATATATTTAAATATAAAATTTATTT